AGCAGCAGCAGCAGCAGTGGCAGCATGTACGCTCGCAGTTGCATACGAATTACAAGAGGAAGGCAGGTCACTGTTGACAACAATGGACATCACAATTGTCAGGACCACAGTACGAACATAGCTCTGTCTCCTGAATTATGTTTGGCTTGCGACAACTCCTCGGCACCATGGAGGCCATCGGCTCCGCAACGATCAATCCACTTGCCAGGCGCCGTGCTCCCAGACCCTCGTAATATACGCACCTACCAGTACCCAAACCGGCCTGAGGCGCTCTTGTCTTCGGATGGTGGCAGCATGAGGATCCTTGCGTCATGGAAAAAGAAAGCCCACGCAGCAGGTGATGCCAACGGGCAGCCCCGAAATGTTGTCGAGAGAACCTCCCTGGCACTACGGTTGCCCTGGTATGTCTGGGAACTCAGCAGCCCTCCTTGCCACTCGGTCACTAGGCTTCGCCGTTGAATACAAGTTTCACGACGATAGCCTTTGTATTGCAGCATTATCATGCCTGTAGTTGTCAGTCGCTTTACACTCGCGATTATTGACTATGCTTCCGGCTGCATATGTCACTGTCATGCTCGGTACTGTAACCAAGACTACTACACTACTCTACTGAGCACTGCTCACCATGTGTTGTGCGCTACGGCTGCAATAACGACAACTACTACTACACGAGTCGTAGCAGCGGCAGCAGCTGCAGCAGCAGTAGCAGTAGTACAGGCAGTGGCAGTAGTAGCAGTGGCAGTGGTGGAGGTAGTAGTCCATCACTATCACTGATGACTGCTGTTCGTCTGCTTGTTCGTAATAGCTTTCTGTACGGACGACATGTGCCACGGCCTCGCTGTCGTTGCCGCGTTCTGGCTCGTCTTCTTCATCGCTGTCCTCTCCTGACACTTCTCGACCCTTGGAGGCGAAGACCCCTGAAAACTAACTATGACAACTCGGCGATGCGACGACTGCCAGGCCCTATGTGCGGACATTGAAACGGTGCCGCCATCAAAGATCGCATCCCCGAAGAGGCCGAAAGGCAACACAACAGTGAATTGAAGCGCTTGTTGTCCACTTGCTCTGATTGTTCCGCGGCTGTCTTGCAAATGGTCCGTTCTGGGCTGCATCATGTCTGTCAGGTTAAGAACATGAGGGTGAAGGTAAACATGCTCTGAATTCGACGAATGCGCCACAAGCCCAACTCATCAATGCACTCTTGGAAGTTTCAACAAGGCTACTGACCTCGAAGAAGTCGTAAGAACAAGGAAACAGGAATCCTGATGGCAGACTCCCAGCTTACTAGCATGAGTACCGAAGGTGGGGAAGAGGTGAACTTGTGTCGGCAATATTATGGCACCAGCAGCGCGAACGTTTCACTAGTACTACCACTTGGACTATAGTTACTAACGGTGCTGACTCTAAACTGTAAGAACCACACGAAAACACATCAGTTTTGTTAGGAGTCGTGCTCAGCATGAACCTAGATGAACCAACAATGGTGGATGATATCAGGCAGTCGTAGTGACTTCGAGCAGAGCTAGCAAGTGGCACAAACATGCCATGACCGCAAGCACACGTTCTCAATGGCAGTTGCAAAGGTGACAAACACATCAAGACTATGGGAGCTGATAGCACAGCGACACTAAGCATTGTTTGCAGTGTCGAATTTCCAACTTTCGCTACCGCAGGAATGCTAGACTTGAGGGTAAAGTGACTGATTTCTATCAAAATGGTCCGAAACTCCGAACATGTGGGCTTTGAGTTGCTCAACGATAGACGAAGAAGTCGATACATTGTGGCAACTGACAGCAGTCTCATCGGACTAAAAGGGCCAGACCAGTCATGGTGGACCTTTATATTCCCGAAAGGACAGTTTCGACAACAGACGTAAGAGACGGGTGGTGGCAGTGGTGGTCATCGCTTCAATCGTAAAGTCTGAAGACGCCAGTATGCCTCCGTAGATCCCGAACTTTGAGAACGCACCCAACAATCCAAGCCTTACCCAGGAATCAGGGAGCATCCCCAAGCTCTCAAGAGCACGTGATAGGCACCGACACCTTAGCGAACCCCACCCCAAAGTATGCATTGGACATCGTGAGACTGTGGCGGGAGCACACTTTGGGAAGGCAGAAGCATGCGGAACTGTGGTGGGAAGAGGTGTGGCGGTAGCACGATTGCCAACCTTTGAACCCCTTAGAATGGCGAGGTTCGAGACGATACGCAGAAAAACTTGAAAGCCTTCGGGAATCTTCATCTTCTGGCGATTTCAAGGTCAAAATGGGGAGCAGGGTTTCCACCCCAAACAGCACAAAATCCACGGGGCACAGCGGCGGGAGTGCGATCCATCAAATTCGGACGCGGCAAAGTATGGCGCTTTACAACGAATCGGCGTGCTGGGTGGAGACGGGCGGCCCCCACGAGACTGTGGCCAGAACGCCATTCTCATCACGTCACAGAGGGAGATGTGGAAGGGCACGAGGCCCTCGCGGCGGTCCCCTGTATAGTGTCACCGAACTCGCTGGAGAAGAACAAAGAATAAATACTGAATCAATGCATGGTGTGCCAGTGATTCTAGTAACCTTAGTCATTAAGGGTCCAGCAACTAGCAACACCCAGAACGATGCACACAACATCAATAATTGAGAAAGTTACTCTGAAGGTGATTAGGATGATGTTGAAGATGATGCTGATGATGGTGATGACCATGATGATGATCGACGTCTCGTCATCTTCTTCATGATCGTACCAGTCCCATTTCTTCTCACTGTGAAGCACCAGAATCGCTGACCCTTCCGGCCTTTGGGAAGGTTGTTCGTGTCTTGTTGTAGGTCTTCTTGGCGCTTCATCTGAGAGCAGGTCTGCGCTTGGGTGCAAGAGCTTACGTTTACCTTCGGATTGGATGGTTTCAACACTTTCCGGGTCAGGGAGCTGTGGTGGAGCTATGTGCGACATGAGGCTTCACTGAAGGCTTGTGGATCGCATCTCGCGGTGATCGACTCGATTCAGTCTTCACCTAGTCTTCTGTCCCCGACATGTCAAGAATTTCTAAAGACTATAGGCAAGGAAGCAGCCTGGCCTGAAGCTCAGCCACGTATGTCAGCATGGTTCCACGCTGCTCCTGGCAGAAGCTGTGCCAAGCATCTCTCATTAGCATGTAATGTAGCGGAGTTTGCAGGCATTCCAACGCGGGACACGCGTTGCGTGTAGATAGACCACGGAAGCGAACCGACAATGGCAGCTGTCACATCTTCCTCCTAGGTTCCGGCCTCGGCAATATTCTGAATGTTACGACCTTTAGGAATAGCATGTTCATGCTTTTGTTGAGGAATGGGGTGGCTCTCGTTCGTGCTGCCACTGACATGGCGTTCTCGGGCCTTCGTCATCAATTTCTTGAGTTGACCGCGCTTTTTTGCACCGGCTTTTGTTTCTCTGCGGATGTTGGTCTTTGGTGTTGGTCCTCATTGTTTGCGCGGCTTGATGGCCTCATCGTTGACAATGCATGTGCCATCGCAGACCGTGAGGTCTCAAGAAATTGCACCTTGCAGCCTCTGACGGACCGGACTGACGGACCGACTGGTCTGGCGAGAGTTTTCAGGCAAACCAATCTTCGTAGCCCGCAACAGCAGACAGCCCCCTCAGATTCAATGATGACTTGAACCGAAGGCGAAGCCTTCAACACTTGACAACCTACCGAAATCAAAGCATTCCAACGAGTCCAACCCCTGCCTGAACCCATTTCGAAGCTAACAAAACCACACAACCAAAAATCCGACAGCCTTCGATTGTTGTACGGAATGGAGCCGGGCACTACAAAGGTAAGGCCCTGCAGAAGGGAGATCTTGTCGTAGGCCAGCGCAATCGCAACGCTGGGCTGTTGAATGTGAGGCTCAGGATCAGTGCTAGCATGCACTTCGTAGATTCGAGAGAATGCGCTCTTGGCCAGGTCGCCCATGAGTGGAGCTAACTCGCAAGAACGTCTTGAGCCTTCTGTCTGAATTTAGACCCGAAGTAATTAAGTCTGAAGTTTGCAAACTGAAGCCTGCCTTAACTCGCTAGGACGACCCTTTCTCCCCGTTCCAGCAGTCCTCGAACCAAACTTCCTTGATCCAAGTGGTGAGCTCCTCACACGACCCTCAAGTTCTTACAGCCGCTCCAAACTAAGCCACTGCAAGCTCGGGTCAGACTGTAAAGACTGCATGGTTCGGAATCTTGTCTCAGCACGCACCCCAGCTATCCCAAGGCCCACGGAGACCACCCACGGCGATGTTGCGAAACAAATGTCTCGGTGTAGCCTTCTAAGAGCTCAGGTCTGGATGTCCGGATCGGATCCCAAAGAAGGTAAGCTTCAGCACTGAGCATGTCCACAGTCGGGCACGTCCTCGAGTGCTTGGGCGGTCTGCTTGTCACTGGATGCCTGTTCCTCGCCACGAGGACAACGGCAAATCACTGCGAGAACGAATCTAGCATGGATGAAGTCGTGACGAATACTGAGACAGTTGGACCTTCTGGGGTTGTCAAGATGGCGTCCGATATTGTCAGGCTACGTGTTCTAATCGATCTGACATGTCTTGTTGCCGTTGTATGGTGCTAAAGCGTGGATGTCGAGACCGCCTGACATCCTCGTGATCAGCAGCTACTTGCCACAAACTGAACCTGAGACGATGCTTTAACACGAAAGCCAGAACCCAAGCCATATCCGAAAGTCTCCGCCGATGGAAACGCCTCTTTGGAGGGCTCGGCTGGTTCCATGTCGACATCCCTGGCAGCAACATGTCGATGCAGGGCTTTTATTTAAAGGGTCCAGAAGCTTCGAGCACCAGAGTTCGAGGATGTTGGAACCGCCAGTCAATAAATCTAAACAAATCGGTCAAGCAGCGGGACACAGGCGCTTCAGAAGAAGCAGCATGACGGTCATTCAATGTGCTGTGCAACTGCTGTTGACTTTGGGTTCTGTCTTTGAGTTGACCACACCGGGTCTGTGCAGTGCGGACCTACCCTTATGTGTGTTTCAACAATGCTCATCCTAGAGAAACCTTAAAACTTGTTGTCAGCGAAGAATAGGATGAACACGGGATGTCCGGAACTGTCGGGAATAGGAGAAACATAGATACCGCAGCAAACAAAGCAAGCAACAGACGAACTTTATACTATTTAGTTTGGACATAGACAGGAACAACAGCTACGAAAAGCAGGCCATAAACGTGAACCTTTTAGGAGAAAGATACGAACACCTGTGAAGCATAGTGCCAATACCTCGGAAACAACAAGGACGTCACAGGACCAATCCATGGTTTTCCTTTTTCCTTCTGTTCCCTAAAGCATGGCGAAGGGTTTTCCGTGGTCAGACAACATGATGTGATGATGTCGATGTGAGGCTGTCTCTTAGGTTGTCGTGAGGTTGGATGGCACGATGTGGGGTCTTCGGGGTTGGCCTTTATGTTTGCTTCAGGTTGCCTCTTGTCTCGTAATCTGATTTGACATATTTTTGTGCAAGAGGCAGTCTCCACGCAGTCAGAAATGGCCCTGCGCATGTGGTGTCGTGACTTTGGATTTGGCAACAAACTGACTCGATCGCGCTCAATGGCGTGTTGACCTCGAAATGACAGCAATGTCGGTGAGCGCAGCGGGACCTGGCACCGCTTGCGTGCTGCCGGATTGATATTCGCACGACACGATTGAATCCCGCCAGTAGTTGGCGGAAGCCGTTGGTCAGGTCTGTGAAACACGCCAGTGCATGGGGGCGAGCATTTTGGCCGTGCTACAGACTCTTGCCGCGGTGGAGGCGTGAGGTGGGTTTCCAGAAGGGAAAACGGAAAGGCTAGAGAGGGGGTTTATAGACGGATTTATGGAGAAGCCTCTGCAGAGTTTGCAACTGGGGGAGTAGAAGGGTTTATGTTGCGAAACCTTGCGAAACCAAGAAAAAACATGGGACAGACCAGAAGGAACATGGGACAACTTAGGTAATCAATAGATACTCATAAACGCACAGGACAAACGGTGTTCGTAGTCTTTTTTCACAGTCTTTCCCAAAGTTTTCGGACGGTTTCCAGAGCTCCCATTTTTTTGCTGAGTTTTTGACCGTTTTGCCAGGTTTTTCTATTCTCTTGTACTTTTATTATTCCTCCCATTCGTCTCGCAATTTTGGAATGGTTCTAGTGATCTCCGATTTCCTCGTTAAGCCCGATTTGTGCCTTCGAGGGAAACAACGAAACAAAAGAGGAGCTAGGACTATCGTGGATGTAGTATAGCGTTTTATGGTCTTGTACTGGCTGTCATAGTTCCTACTGTTGTCCAGTTATCGTATTCATGTAATTCTGTAATTTTGTACTGTTTTGATGCGCTTATTCGTGTTTGCTTCGAGAGTCGTGATATGCTCTATTTGTCCTTTGCTGTGGTTGCGGGGCTTGACTAGATTTTGCACTTGGTGTGGACATAACCCTACATCAAGCACTCTGAAATACAGAACATAACTAGGAGCCACTCTAATTCTGCACTAGCATGCTCTGATGGTGTTCACGAGGGTGATGCTATCCATGGCCAGCTAGATGATAGTTAACTCTGCGCCAACTGCCTCTGCTGTGCGCACTCGCCCAGCTCCTCGTCATCGTCATCGTCCATGGCTGTCGGGTCCTTCTGGATATGAACCCTATCAATGTCTCAGCTTTGCAGTTCGAGTGCTTTTAACCTAAACTGTCGAGTTTCAGCTCTTGGCCCAGATGGGAACTCCAGCCTGGCCACCTATCAGCTGGGATCGACCAATGACGAACCACCTTCAAGATGCACCTGGGACACTCCCCTCCTTGGCATCTAGCTCCGTTTCCTCCATCGGCACCACTGGTGGTGCCTGGCCAGAGATGACGGATGCAGGTCGTGACAGTGATTCTCGCTTCCAACAACATGTCCACTTGGACTACGACATCACGAAAATGCTGTAAACATCGAGCAAAATGGATGTGCTGTTGTTACACAGTGTTTAGGAGAGGTAATTGGTAGCCGGGGGGGGGGCGCCTCCTGCTACTACTACTACTACTACTACTACTACTACTACGACTACTACTACTACCACTACCACTACCACTACTACTACTACCACTACCACTAACACTACCACTACCACTACCACCACCACTACTGCAACGGCTACTGCTACTTCATCCGGATACGCTCCAACTACTACTCTACACTACATCCGACCGGCACAGAAAGACGAGCATGCGGAAGTAAATCAAACATGACTTGCATTCGATACGACGTAGCAGTGGGCCTAAGCTGCAAAGTGCGCAAACCTTGACGCAGAAGTGGCGCAACACATCAAAAGGGTAGTAGAGCTCATGGTGCCCATCGGAAGAAGGCCACTGCCAGAAGCCCCTGTATCACCTACAGGGACCTCGTTGTAGTAGAACCTGCCTCCGAGAAGTTTTCGAGCAATCCGAGACGCTCACCCAGGCGCTTCTGTGGCCTCGGGCCATGTGATCTCTTTAAAGTGCGGGGTCGACCTGCATGCGTAGTTTGCATTGGTTGAGGGGCCGGTGCTCATTTGTGCAGTCTTTGGGCGTCTTGTCGAGCCATGATGAGTGAACTGGGGCTTTCTTTGCCTGTACTTCAGCTTGAGGTACCATGCAGGCCTTTCCGGTTCATTTCACAAGTCAGCATCAGACCTTCGAACTTACCTTTAGGCCCCTCGAAGCACTCTGCTTGCAAACACCAACCAAGTCAAGATATCTGCAGATGTTGTTCAACATGATGTACCAACAATGAACGACCTCAATACCGACCGTCTTTACTCTTGCACAACTGCCTGATTACTATAATGCCTTAACATAAGTATCGCGAATGTATCCTTTCTACTCTCCGAGTTGCCTGAAGCCCCCCGAGGGCTGTGCTCCAGCAGAAGATTTGAAGCGAAGGTCTCCACACAGTCCGCGACCTTAGGGAACTGCGCCGCTGTTTCCGCCCTCTCGTGGCCTGCGACATACTCCTGCCGGTCACGGAGTTGAATGATGGATGAATACAATCCCTGCATGCCTGCCTCAGGTTGAGGCTAAAGCATGGCAGGCCTCTAGATACAGGAATGCAGGATGGCTGAGAATGGCAGGCCTGATCCCAATTCGCATGCTGTTGTACATGTTGTGGGAGCTAATGGGATGGTTGGTGCCGCGACACTGACTCGGAGCATTGCCAGACGCGGTGATACTGCTGGCTGGACCACGATCATTGCTCTTCGGACTAAGATTGCTCCGAGGTTTTGACCGCCGGCGGCAAGTACTCGGTAAATCGCCAGAAGCTGCTAACCTCCGGGCATGGGTCGCGTTCCGTGAAGTTTCCGGAAATGCGGAGTGTCGACTCATTCCATCATCAAAGTTACATCGACATCGGACAGTTTAGGATCTTGCTCAGGAGGTTCTGGGTCGGGGCACTCTCGAAGTTCGGCGAAGGGCAAATACGTCAGGGCTTGTGATCTTGGCTCGGATCGGCATGCACCCTCGTGGTGTGAGTGAATGTGCGTAGAGTCGAGAGTTCGCACATCAGACCCTCTGCAAAAGATTTCCGCAGGCATCGTACCGTCACCCCCTCAGGCTCCTGGGACTGTGGGTTAATGCAGAAACACTGAGCCATCAGCAACATTCCCAATTTCTGCAGCTTGTCCGCTCTCAGTCGAAGCAGAAGCCTAAACATGATATGGTGCAACCCTGAGATAGAATCTTGTCTCGATTGGTTGAATGGACCTAAACATCCATAGGCCTGGCCCCCCGTTTGTGTACACCAACGAAATCTATTTGTGGGTGAGGGCCTGCAAGATGTCAGTTTTCAAGCTTTGGGGTCGCAGGCTTAGGCTAACGGGTTATCATGAAATTCAAGAGATGCCTCCCAAGAAATGTCCGTGCCGGACAGCGCGATGCTGGACCAGTCCTGCAGAACGAGAAGTTTCAACCCTGGTCAGATGTTGCCTGCTCGTGTTTCAACAACTTCATCATGCTGTCCTACTCTGTGATTTGCACACCTTGAACAGTATACGACCCGGAAGACGAATCACTGAACCAAGGCAGGTTTTGTTGCAATGTGCTACAGTGTGCAAGGGTGTGTTGCCATATCAGCCGGCGGCAAGTATCTTGCAGTGACTTGCCAGTGTTGCAAGCTGCACCACTTTCTGCGGTAGTGGGGGCAGAAATCAATCGTGGTTTTACACATGGCGCTACTTCAGGATGAATATTGTCGTGCTAAGGCTTGATGAAGATTCCTACGCCAGCCTTGAATGCAGTTGAGTGCATCCTGATTAAAACTTATAGTGATGGCAGTGTAGGGCTTGGAGATCACGCCTCAATGCGGGTGCAGAGCTGCAAAACCGTGGCAACTGGATATTGACCTTGTCGATGCCTTGTGTCGAACGTTTTGAAGACACCCACAGGTAACCCAACATGGGCACACCTCGACCTCCACCCCGAAACGGTCGAATCTAAGTTAAGGACGCACCGTCGGCATGTGTTACTTCGGCACGAGCTGCCGTCTTGACTTGCAGGTTTCAGCTCAGCTGTATCGGTATCGGACAGGTATTACAATCTGTTCGGTGAATCCAGCAGATTCCAGGCATGGTCCTCAACTCCGAGTCAGGCATCCATCCCTCCAAACGCCACGCTGCACTCCCCCGACCGGTCCGACGGATCCAGCCAGAGGACCCCGAAGTACACATCGCTCGATTCCTTGGCAATTGTGTAGGATTTGAGCTGCGGTGTTAGGAAAGGCTAGGTGCATGTGTCCTCGGGAACCAGTGTATACTTCTTCGAGCTTGATCTATGTATGTTTCTATATGAGCATATATGAATATGAGCAGGAGTGTAAATGTAAACGTAAAAAGTAAAGATATATGTGCTTATATTGAGTACACATAACTATAAACGGCTATAAACAGAAACACACATGATCATATGCGTGTGTATATATATATATATATCTACACACATCCATCTATATCTAGATCTATACCTAATATCTACATGCATATATGTACGTACATAGGTAGGTAGGTAGGTAGGTAGGTAGGTAGGTAGGTAGGTAGACAGGTAGGTAAGTAGGTAAATAGGCAAGTAGGTAGGTAGGTAGTGCATGGGTGGGTGGGCGGGTGGGTAGGTATGCATGTCTGTATGTATGTATGTATGTATGTATATATTTATATATGTATGTATGTATGTATGTATGTATGTATGTATGTATGTATGTATGTATGTATGTATGTACGCACGCGCGTATGCATGCATGCATGCATGCATGTGTGAACGTAACATATGTAGCATAATACAATTCAACATAATGTGCGTATGGTTATGTACGTATGTACACAACGCTCGCGATGCTAGTGATCTACTCTAGAATACAGCGGAGTGGCATGCACCCATTAAGCAAGTTTCGCAACAGGCGACGAAATACCCTGACTTCATCTCTAAACCGCATCTGCCAAGAAACATCTGCAACATGTCATGGGCCTGCGAGGGGCATACTCTTGTGCTACTGCTCATGCACCAGGCCGGAAGCCAACATTGACATATGGCCCACGGCTGGTTTCTGTGAAAAGGGTCGGCAATAGCAGTTACTGACCGAGCATAAACACAGCCTGATGAAACCACAGCTGATCACAAGGGCGTTTCGGCCAAATGACCGACCGGACAGGGAAAGTCCTCAAGTTAGTCTGCCCTGAGGCATGGGCATTGTTGAGATTCAATTCGGCGAGCGCTCGCGAGCTCTGGATGCTCTGCAGCAGTGCCTCCGGGAAGGGGCGCTTAACTGAACCCGTTGTGGTGCCCCCAAGCGGCGGCATCAGGGGGCATCATGCAGGTTCTGATCCAAATTTGGAAATGGGAAACCAGGTTCAGCATAAGTGTTCATACCTCATGGCCTCCGTCTAACATGCCACTGGCAAACAGACATGAGCATCCGGTAGTCATGCTACTACCAGTCAATGGTATCCGCAAAATGTTGAAACCCTCATGAGCAAGAAGACTACCGTTAGCAGCATGAACAGCGGTCTGGCAATAGCAAACCGGGGTATGTCTGCTAGATGCTAGATATCAAAACCTGGGATCGTATGCACGAAAGGAAATGCTGGCAATAAGTGTCGCTTGGAAGGACGTTCGCCCTGCACCCTGAGCCACCACAAAAAGTTGCCCCAACAACTAGGACATGCTCTTGACTTCTCCCGACTACCGAGAAAGCTCCCGCCGTGTAGAATATCTCCAGGTCGCACATGCGAAGCTTCCCAGTCTCCAGGAGCACCTCCAAATCAGCGTGCAATGCAGAGCTTTTTCAGCTTCAGCACTTCAGCTTTCCGGGGGAGCATGGTGGAATTGTAACTTTGCAGGCTAGCAAGACGACTTTATTCCTGTTCTCATGAAGCCGTCAAGGAATGTTGAAGCTGCTTCTGGTCGGCATCATGGCGCTTCACAATGCAGCTAGGAAGTCTTGTTGCAACCGGGGTGAAAGCCCCACCAACTCCACCTCATCATACCTTTTTCAAGCACCGCTTGCAGCTAATGTGCCGCCGCGTTTTCGAATTCTGACCGCACAGGAGAGACTCAGTCGAGCAAAGACTTGGACTTGAACGAGTCGTAGGCTATGCAGTTGTCAGAGTGGGGGTCTGCAGTTGAGGTCTCAGCGGTTCCGTCAGCCTGCAGCCGGCAATGACCGTCTGCGTCTCTGCCGAAACCCTACCTGAGGTCCACTAATAGAACGCCTTAAGTTCTCGTCAATACAGATGGGCAGGGTCATGATCTTCTTACCTTCTGCAGATAGCTTCGCATCTTCAGCTTCTCGTAAATGCGGCATGCTCGACATTCGGAGTCTCCCTCCGAAGCTTTTCAAAACCAGGTTCGGCGCTGAGGGGTTCGAAGGCTTAGAGGCTCAGGGAATGTCGGTTCCAGGTTGATTCTGGAATCTTGTCGGGACGACCGTGCAAGGCATCCTATATTCCGCCATTCTAGGGCTGCCATCCTCTGAAGAGCCTGATTCCGCTACTCTGCAAATTTCAGGTCGTTCCCGTTCCCTCAGGTTTTTGTCTCCGAGGTATGCAGCCCTACAAAGGCTTCTTCCCCAAGGGTCCATGCATCAGAAGCTCTGCAAGTTGAGGCTCAGGACTGGCTTTCCAAGGAATTTTTGCACTGAGGCTTGTGAAATACTAGGGTTTAGGTTTAGGGTTTTAGAACTGGGGCAAACCGCGTATAGCAGCATAGCATCGACTGACAAACAAGCGACAGAGGTGAGGAAGAAGTGAGATTCAAGCGTCATTCGCGAGAAAAGACTTCATAGATAGCTATACGACAGAAAGCTTCAGACTTGAAGGTCCAGATCATTAGAGGACCGTCGCGGGGGAAGTAGAAGGTGCGATTCACTCCCCGGTCTGAGTACGAGTACAGCTGCACAGAGGCGTCGAAAGCACGAGCCCAGATCCAACAGATCTGTTGCCACGTGACTTGCCAAAAGCAGTCGTTCGTTTTGCCATGCTTCTCTCGCTTCTTAGATTCTTGCTCGTTTTTCTCGTTTCGCCTTCTCCAGTCTGTGTCTCTTTATGACACTTGTTAGTCACCTCTTTTTCCGCTTTGTCCGAAATTTCACTTCTAAAAGAAACTGGTTTTCCAAGTTTCCCTCGCAGCCTCGGTGAATCAAGACTCTTCCAGAAGCCAGTGGGGCAGTCGAATCCCCCCGGGCAAGGACTCGCATCTGTTGCACTTTGTGTGGGCTTAAGCCGCACCTGCCACACTGGATTCGCTGCTCTACCTGCAGCCGTAACGCATCTCAATTGAATGCATTGCAGCCTCTAGCATACGCGTTTGACTCTAGCATACGCATTTGACTTACACTTGCAATCTCACCCGATTTCCGTTGAAATCCTAGGCTTCGCAGAACAGGGAACTTCTGGTCCCTGGAGCTTGTACATCGGGAGCTTCTGAGGGCAAAACCTACCTTCAACCTTCTGAGCGACACAGCCCCTCAGGGTTTGCCGAGAGTAAAAGGCGAATCGATGTCAGAGTCCACCTCTTCGGGGGGCTCCTGCCGCAGTCAGCAGGGAGTGTTGTTTATCAGGTCAACGTCTCGTTTCATAGGGCTTTCAGAACATTATCCACAGAAGCTCAAACGGGATGTTCACCGTCGGTCTAGGCGTGCACAGTTACAACCCTAGCTGCCTTTAAATGTGACGGCACGTTCATCAACTAGCAACAAGCCTCGAACATGTTTGGGCTCCACACTGCTACGACGAAGCTCGGATTTACAACACGGACAGGCTTCTGTTGCTCTAGGCTAAACGCTACGACTTGCGCCTCCTCCTGCCATGCATGTGTGAACAATGAACGACAAGAACGGGTACATGTATCTGAGAGATCGCAACAACAAGGCATTGGCTCAAAGCTCGCTGCCGACACTGGAAAACTGCGTTTCGGAAGTGCTCATACACAACTTTGCACAGGTCCTCGATCTTCAATCTGGATTTCATGCAGCGTGACACCTTCGCAAGGTCATTTGTGCACTTGTGAAGTCCTTCGGCTCACCGCTGTTTGCTGAGTGGTCAGACCATCCATTCATCCGTGCAACCCTCCATCCAGCCGGCCATCCCTCCATCCGTTCATGCATGCATGCATGCATGCATACAGACAATCACAAACAAATACACGCACTGACAGACACACAGAGACACAGACACGCAGAGACGCGCAGGCGCGCGCGCACACACACACAGACACAGCACACACACACACACAGACACACACAGAGACACACAGAGACACACAAACACACACACAGACACACACACACACACAGACACACACACACACACAGACACACACACACACATAGACACACACACACAGACACACACACACACACACACACACACACACACACACAGACAGACACCCACACACACAGACACCCACACCCACAC